AAAAGACAGAGACTGGCAAGACTATATACATACATATGCATATGCAAACACACACACACATACACACACTCCTTAAACATTATCCAAACATATGTTCTCTACCAAAAAAGTCACTTCAAATATAATGATATATATAGGCTGAAAGTTAATGAATGAAAAAAATATTTACCATTTAAACATTACAGGATTAATATTGACATCGAAGAGAGTAAAGAAAAATTAACAAAGGAAATGATTAGCATAAAAAGAGGCATTGAGTAATGATAAAAGACTCAGTCTGTTAAGCATATATAGCAATCTTAAATGTGTACACAACAGAATTGCCAAAAATGTGGATTAAAATCTAATAGAAATAAAAAAAAGAAATTCATAATTATAGTTGAGATTGAAATACTCCTCTCTTAGCAAGTGATAGAACATTGAGAAATGAAAATTGGGAAGAATATAGAAGTCAACAATACCATTAATCAACAGGATCTAATTGACAGTTACACCAAAAGAACACCAAGCTCAAGAATAGCAGAAAATACAGTTGAAATGTTTATGAAACCTATACTAACTTCAATAAATTTAAAATCATTTCATTCAAGAGAGAACATTACCAGGCCACCAAATTAAAAGAACATTACTATTCTTAATATGAGATTTAAAATTATAGTCATTCCTAACTTTTGTTTTACAAATTTTATAATTAGCCTATTCCACTATTAGGTTCTCTCAATATTTGTTTCATAATTCGTTCCCCATCTCTTGCACTCTGTCCATACTACATAAGCTACTTGAAGGCCGATTTGTTTACCTATAAAGAATAGCAAAGCACCAATGAGCATAGATCAAATGAGCTCTGGGAAGATATCAAGAAAATCGTACATGAAGAATGCAAAAGATCGTTACAAAGGCTGAAAAAGAAGAAAAGACCAAGACAGATGTCAGATGAGACTCTGAATATTGCATTAGAGCGCCGAGATGCCAAAGCTAAAGGAGGAAACCAAGAAATCAAAGAGCTAAACAGAAAATTTCAAAAGCCATCCCGGGACGATAAAGCAAGATACTTATAATGAAATGTGCAGAGAGCTGGAGTCAGAAAATCAAAAGGGATGAACTCGCTCAGCGTTTCTAAAGCTGAAGGAGCTGAAAAACAAATTCAAACCATGGGTGGCAATACTTTAGGATACTTTGGGCAGTATATTAAATGATCCAGAAAGTATCAAGAGAAGATGTAAGGAATACACAGAGTCACTGTATCAGAAGGAATTGGCTGACAAGAAGAATTTCATCAAATGACACATGAGCAAGAGCCTATGATGATGAAAGAGGAAGTTCAAATTGCTCTGAAGGAATTGGCAAGAAACAAGACTCCAGGAGTTGACGGCATATCAATTGACATATTTCAACAAACAGACACTGGCCTGGATGTGCTCACTAAGTTGTGCCAAGAAATCTGGAGAACAGCCAGCTGGCCCGCTGACTGGAAAAGATCGATATTTGTTCCCATTCCAAAGAAAGGTGACCCAACAGAGTGTGGAAATTATTGAACAATATCATTGATATCACATGCAAGCAAGATTCTGCTGAAAATTATCCAAAAATGTTTGGAACAATATGTCAACAGAGAACTGCCAGATGTGTAGGCTGGATTTAGAAGAGGTCATGGTACTAGGGATATTATAGCTAATGTCAGATGGATCTTAGCAGAAAGCAAAGAATACCAGAAGAATGCCTATCTGTGCTTCATTGACTATGCAAAGGCTTTTGAGTGTGAGGATCACAAGCAGCTGTGGCTGACTCTAAGAAGGATGGGAATCCCAGAACATTTGATTGTGCTAATACGAAACTTGGACCAAGACGCAGTTGTCAGAACAGAGCAAGGAGACACTATATGGTTCAAAATCAAGAAGGGGGTTCGCCAGGGAAGTATTCTGTCTCCATACCTTTTCAATCTGTATGCAGAACAGATCATCAGAGACGCTGGGCTATACAAAGAGGAATGTGGCATCAGGATTGGTGGAAGAATCATCAACAACCTGTGTTATGCAGATGACACAACCCTGCTTGCTGAAACTGAGGAGGACCTGAAGTGCTTGCTGCAGAAGATCAAGGACTACAGCCTCCTATATGGACTGAAGATCAATGTCAAGGAAAGAAAGATTCTAACCACTGGGCCAATTGGCAGCATCAGCATGGATGGTGAAGAGATTGAGAAAGTTAAAAGTTTTAATTTATTTGGCTCCACAGTCAACACTCTTGGTAACAGCAGCCAGGAAATCAGGAGACAAATTGCATTGGGAAAGTCGGCTGTGAGGGACCTCTCAAGAGTACTGAAGAGCAACGATGTCAGGCTGGAGACTAAGGTGCGCCTGATCCGGGCTAAAGTCTTCGCAATTATGTGCTATGCATCAGAGAGTTGGACAGTGAATAGGGTTGATAGAAAGAGGATTGATGCCTTTGAGCTGTGGTGCTGGAGACAAGTGTTGAATATACCATGGATTGCTAGGAGAACAAACAGGTTTATCCTGGAGAGAGTGAAGCCACAGTGTTCCCTGGAGTCAAGGATTCTGAAGCTTCGTCTGACATATTTTGGGCATGTTGCAAGGAGGGACTGGTCCTTGAAGAGGGACATCATGCTTAGCAGAGTGGAGGGGTGGCGAAGGAGAGGAAGACCTTTGATGAGATGGATCGATTCTGTGACTGGAGCAGTGGGAATAAGTGCACTTGAGATGGCTAGGTTGGCACAGGATAGAAGAGCATTTGAGATGGCTAGGTTGGCACAGGATAGAAGGGCATTTCGAGCTCTTGTACATAGGGTCGCTATGAGTTGCAAGCAACTCGATGGCACATAACAACAACAACAACAGAAAATTAAGGACAATGTTCTAATAGTCTCAAAGGCAGAAAATTTATAGGAAAAAATCATAAAGAAGTCTTATGATAGGAATGAGTCCTCAATGACACGTAACAACAACTGGAAGAACAGCTTAGTGCTTGGCTTCTTTCAGAAAGGTTGGTGGTTTGAAACTACTCGTGGGCTTCCTGGGAGAAAAAACTAGTTTTCTACTTCTATAAAAATTCAAAACTTTAAAAAAGTCAAACTTGCTGTAATAGAGTTGGTTCTGACTCATAAAGGCCCTGTAGGTGCTGTCACGTCAATTAGACTCCTAACTACGGCATGTGACATAGTAGAACTGCCCCTGTTGTTTCCTAGGCAGCAAAGTCCCAAACAAGTTGTACTGCTGGCCCAAAGGCCCTATGTCTCTAGCAGTCTGAGTTTACCAGTGGCTTCAAGGGAGCAAGATGAGCAGTCAACTCTCATTTAATTTACAACAGGAGGAGACTGTCCATCAGAGCGCCTGGTGAACGCAAACTGCCAAAGATGCTTTCTTTGGGTGAGCAGTACAGCCTGCTAGAGACTATGCTGCCTAGAAAACCCTAAAAGCCAATTCTGCTCTGTCACATGAGACAGCTATGAGTATAAAGCTGACTTGACACAATCTAACAACATAAATGTATGATGGTTAATGACCCTAGCTATCTTTTGAAGGTGAAAATTTTACTTCACTTAGAAGATCAGTACCAGACAGGAAGGTAGATAGACAGATAAAACAAAAAACCAAACATCTTGTCTTGATTCCAACTCTTGGATACCTCATATGTTACAGAACACAAGTGATGTTGTGATTAGGTTCCATCCAGCCGAGGGCGATGCATAGCAACCCTGTGAACAATGGATCAGAACCCTGTCCTATCCTGTGACATCAATACAACTATACTACAGGATCTTCTTGAATGCAGATCTCCAGGCCTTAATCCTGCACATGATCAAGTAGATATGAAAAGCAAATCTTTATGTTAGTAGATGAGAGCAAATTGTTAGTCCCATGCAGTAAGATAAAGAGAAATCATATGTACAGGGGCCTAAAGAAATGATAAAATAGCATAATCAAAATAACCACAGCTTCTGTTTTTTCTCATTGCTAGTAAAACATGGAATACCTTGATATTAAAAAATAAAATTAAGTCAACATTCACACTTCTGTCATAATTCTCAGTCTCTCTCTTGCACACACTCTCTCTCTGTGACACACACACACATTCACATAAACACATCTGAAAGGAAAAATGCCAAAACTGTATCAATGAGTGGTCAAGTTAATTATCCTATGTAGTGAACTTTGAGAAATTACAACAGTTATAGAAAGGCTTCAGGTCTTTTTTCATAGTGTCACTATGAGTCATGCTCAACTCAACAGCAATCAACAACAGTTTATATTCACTATATATTTATATTCACTGTATTTTCCAAGTGAGTTCTGATGGCCTAGTGGTAAAAAATTGTACTGTCAACCTTAAGGCACATAGTTCGAATCCATCACCAGTTCTGTGGGAGAAAGAGGCAGTTTAAAGCCTCAGAAAACCCACTGGAGAGTCAATTATAAGGTGGTTCCAAGTTGACAGTATACAATGGCATATTTTCCAAATCAATTGCTAGAAACAGCTATTATTCATACAATGACATTTAGACTGGGATGTTCTTTCAATGTCATCCACTTGATTCATACTCTCACTTCATTAAAGGTTTGATTCAATTTTCAATTTGCCAGTGAGGCCTATGCTGTTCTGACCTGTGTCCTTCCAACCACTGTGCCCCACCACTTGAGAAACACATACTTCATACTGTCTTCTTCCACAAGACCTACTGTTTTCTAACATATACTTCTTTTACTATGCTATACTGTGCTACATGTCTCCATGTTAAGATTGGAATGCAAATCCCATGAGTACACAGATCTTTGCTTATGATAATGCTGAATGTCAAGTGCCAAATTCATTCTGTTGTACGAAGGGTTGGTGTGATTTGGAGCTGACTATATGGAACTCAATAATAACAACTACTTTTGTAGATTTTTATTATTTAACGTTTTTTAGAATTAAAAATAAACTATGGGAATAAAAATATAAAAGATGGATCCATAAAACAGCAAAGTTCAGGTAGAAACACTTACCTCTATTTCCTTCCTTAACTTTTCATGTGTCTTATTTTCTTTCTCAAGAGAACAAGTTTTTTCAATGATAGATTCTTTTGTAGTGATAATTCTATCCTTTAGCATCATGATGTCTTCCTGTATGTTTAAAAAGAATTAAAATGTAAAAGTCAAACAAAAAACAAAGTAAATCTAAGATTTCAATATTTCTGTCATTTCAGAAAATGCTCTCTCATTTCCATTGCTGTTATGTTAGAATGGACTCAGAGCTAACCCTCCAGTGGGTTTTCAGAGGCTGTAAATCACACAGAAGGAAATAACCCACCTTTCTCGTGCCAAGAAAACAAGCTGAGTGTAGTATTTTTAAATTGTTGTATACCTTCAAGTTGGAGCTGACTCATAACTGACTCTCCAGCAGGTTTTCAGAGGGAGGAGACTGCCCATCTTTCTCCTGCAAGAGCTGGTGGATTTGAACTGTGTGCCTTTAGGATTGCAGCACAACTTCTTACTACTAGGCCACCAGAGTTCCCTGATATTATATTTTTAGGTATATAAATAACAATCATTCAAATAAATGAAAGCTTAAATTTTAAAACCTTGAACTAAAATTCAAATTAAAATAATGCATAAAAGAAAGTGACCATCAGGGTCACTAGACAGCAACAATGTAAAGAATATTTTTAATCCTCAAGCAAGAATGATAGACATTTAATTTTTTATCTTCCATTGTCTTCAGAGAATAGAATAAGAAATACAAAGAGGCTGTAGGCACGATTATTAATTCATACTGTTTGCATAAGAGAATTAGGCATATTAAAATTATTTTCATTGGTCTGGATCCATTAATCTAGAAGCTAGAGCTCAGACATCTTTCTTAAGTTACACTTTCTGCAACAAATGGGTTAACTGTTCACTGTGATTTTGTTTGACTTTGTATCTTTATAAATCTTTAGGATGTAACCTTTATGCATTTGCACATTTGGCATTGTTGCTACGTAATGCTTGTACTTACTCAAGTTTTAATATTTGTGAAAATAGCTTCTGAAGGCAGTTAGAGAAGCTAAGAGTATTTTAGTAATTTAATGATGAATTTATCACCTATTACATGTACTTGTAAAAATGTTTATTAAAAAAACTGATAAATTATATTCCAAACCTGTACTTGCTTTATCCTATTTCCATCTGGATTTTGGAGATTTTGCCCAAGTTCCCCTTTCATTGTCTTCAGTCTTTTAACAAGATCTTGTTTTTCATGGAGTTCAGCCATGAATGGCCATTTGTTTTCTATCTCTATGAAATTATTTTTATGTGCTTTTATTTTTGCATAATATGAATTATATCTTCTCATGTTTTCTTCAAACTCTTCTTGAACTGTTTCTAGGTCAAATTTAAGCTTCACATTTTCTGTACAAATGGATTTGATTTGAGATTCCAGGCTTCTGCACTGAAGTTTGGTATTCTCTATGGCAGCATCTTGCTGACAAATTTGACTTTCTACTTCTTTAGTTTCTGCAGAGACAGATGCTATTTGTTTTTCAAGCTCATGAAGTTCATTCTGTAACATAAATCAATGTTATCATTATTAATTCATGATATAAAACAAGAAAAGTCATTGTTTTGATCTATAATGTAGATAGGAAAATTGCTTAACATAAAAAATGAATATTTATCAGAGAGAAAAACAGATACATAATAGAAGGAAACAGGCAAGAAAGTAACAAAATAATTTTATAACCTCAGATGAAGCCCAGAGTTATATAGTTCTTAATTATTAATGTTCATCTGATTCTGAATATTAAAATAGAATTCTTTTGTCTTAACATTTTATATGGAGAATATATGTTACAATCATTTTAATAATTCACTTACAAGCATCAGAATATACACTGAATACAGGAAACTTTTTTTTTAATACAGGAAATTTTACTGCCCCAGTCTAAGGCTCAAAAGGTGAAGGTTCTAGCTCCCTATTGCTAATACTGGCTAGAATGATCTGAGTACAAAGTTTGCCACTTTGCTCCTCTGGAGTATCTGCACTGCTAAGCCATATTTCCTTATCAAAACTTACTTTTCCCATTATCACTCTTCTCTTAGATCTCTTTGAGCAATCCTCCTCAATGTCAAGAGAGCTCTGGTGACCTAGTGGTAAGAAGCTGTACTCCAAACTCAAAGGAATATGGTTTGAACACACTCTGTGGGGAAGGGATGGGCAATCTCCTCCCATGCAATCTACTGCCTCTGAAAACCTGCTGCAGGACCAATGATGAGTTAGTTCTGACTTAACAGCAAATAACAACAACTCAATTGCAAGGGATTCTACTAAAGAACAAAGGGACAGTGCACAGTTTAAGGTCAAGAAAGATGTGAGTCAGGGATGTATCCTTTCTCCATACCTGTTCAATCTGTATGCTATGCAAATCATCTGAGAAGCTAGACTTTATGATGAAGCATGTAGCATCAGGATTGGAGACTCATTAACAACCTGCATTATACAGATGACACAAACTTGCTCACTAAAAGTGAGGAGGACTTGAGGTGCCTGCTGCAGAGTATCATGGACTACACCCTTCAATAGAGAGCTCTGGTGGCTTAGTGACAAGAAGCTACACTGCAACCCTGAAGGCAAGTGGTTCGAATCCAGCTGCTCTGCAGAAGAAGGATGAATAATCTCCTTCCATGTGATTTAAGTGCCTCTGAAAACCCACTAGAGGGTCAGCTATGGGTCAGTAATGAATTGACGCTATACAATAACAACACCCTTCAATATAGATTACATCTCAATATCAAGAAAATGACAACTGCCCAGAATAAGAAATATATCATTCCAAAGAGGACTGGGGTGGAGGGGCATGAGATAATTGTGCAATAATAAATAAATTTGAAAACAAAAAAAAGTGAATTGGAGAAGGGGAAAGGAAGGGTGAGGGAGTAAAATGTGCAAAAATGAATGAATGGAAGTCTAACTTCTCTGTAAATGTCCGTTAAAATCACAATTAAAATAAAATTTTATTTAAAAACGAAAATAAAAATATTTACTACTGGGCAAATATGAAACATTATGATAAGTGGAGATAAGATTGAAAATGTAGACAATTTAATCTTACTTGGTTCTATGATCAACACCCTTGGTAACAACAGGTGGGAGATCAGTAACTACCTTCAAGGACTTCTTCAAAATCCTGAAGAGCAATGCTGTCTGTTTAAAGACTAAATACAAAGAGAATGCCTTGGAGATGGTACAGAGTGCTCCTTGGAGGCAATGATGGTGAAGCTTCATCTCACATACTTTGGCCATGTTTTAGGAGAGGTTAAGTCTTGATGAGGGACATCATGCTTGGAAAGGGGGAGGGTCAATAAAGGAGATGACAACCCTCAGATGAATTGATACAGTGACTGAGGCAATGAGCTCAAATGTGTTGGGGATGATAAGGATGGCACAAGATACTACAGAGTTCAGTTCTGTTCTTCCTAAACCATGAGTTATACATGACTCAACAGCACCTAACAGCAACAGGTGAACTGCAATGGTTATCTCAAATATAATGTCCTGAAACCTGGAACTTGTCATTGATTTTTCCTCTCCCTTACAATTTCACATTATAAACTGTTGAGTTTGCCCTTCACAATTCATTTTTTCCTCCCAATGTCTTCCTCTATCATTTTGTTCTTTAGTATAACAATACAAATTAGCCATCCACTCTCCTGCTCCAGTTATGGTTTATTACTTTACTCTAGTATGGAAATACAAAGGAAGAGGAACAGTTGTAAGCAGACACTGGTGATTGGGACACGGAATGTGAGAACCATGAATGTAGGAAAATTAGATATTGTTAAGGAAGAAATGGAA